TTGACCAAAAATGCCATGCATCATATACTTGGCTCTTAGCATCACCCCAACAAGAAGTTCTCTGCCCACTCTACTAAACTGTCCCCAGGTATCAGAGACTCAGATTGGGCCTCACTTGGGTCATATTCTTCTTTTCTCAAAATCTCTTGGAATCCTAACTCTGTTCATTGACATCTGCTAGAAGGCGGATCCCCCTTTATTGCTGTGCTCTTGTTTATTGTTTTGTGACATTTGATATCAGGCTAAATCTAACCTCTAGGCCACCATGGAAGTTGTTGATAAAGATGTGGGCGTGGAAGCTAGAGCTCAGAGCCTGGTGGCTTCCTCCTTCAGGCCACCAACCCATCAATTTTTCCACCCCATCCCTGGTCTTCATAGGATCCCAGTTTTATAGAAGGGCTTCAGACCCTGCCTCCTATCCCAGTGTCTCCTCTAGGAGCTCGTCCTGTCCAGGGGAAGATGGCCTGTGTACTGGGCATTTGTGGGCAGCATCTAGCATTGATTTCTCCTGCCATCAGCACCCAAACTCTACCCCTGTGTTCTTAGCTGTGGTTTCCTGCAATGTTTAAAAAGACTTTATGGAAGATTCTGGAATAATGGAAGGGATAGCAACATGGAGCATCACCAACAGTTACCTTACAGAAGAGCAAGATCAAGCAGATACAAGCAGTAGACACATGAGAGGGAACCAGAGGACCACCGGGTGGCTGTGCTCAGAGCTCCTGGGGGTGGCTAGAAGGGGTATTTCCAAAAGGGGCCCTTGTGCATGTCTCCTATGTTGTTCAAGAAAAAGTGGGTGTCCCAACCCCAGAACAGAGGGAGCATGGATTTACCTTTTCTCTGCTTTTTTGTTCTGTCTGGGCCTTCAACTGACTGGATAGTGCCTGCCCAGATGGGGTAAGGGGTTGGTCTTCCTTAGTCCACTAATTCAAATGCCAGGCTCTTTCAGAAACACCCTCATAGATACCATAAATCATGCTTTACCAGCTATCTGGGCATCCTTAACCCAGTCAAGTTGACACCTAAAAATAACCATGACATCTCATTTTCCTCACCCCCTGGTTGTCCCCAGAGAAAGGGGAAAGAGTCCCTCTGCACAGTCTAATGCCAGGTGAGGTCCTTTTCTCCAGATGATGTACAGCAAAAGGCCTACCATCACATTCATGGCACAAAAACGGGGAGAGGTGGCTTCCTGGAGGGAAGGCTGGGCAATCCCTTCAGCAGTGGTGGGATGGGTGCTGGTTCCTGTATCTGGGGCCTGGCCAGACTCCCACGTGTCTTGGTTCCTGTAGGGTCACAATGTTCTGAAACTGTGCAATCTTCTGCAAGTCAAATGGGCTCTCGGGGAAGGCCGGAGGTGCAGGAAGAAAGCAAAGTCCTCCCCTCCTTATTCTATATTGCATGTCTACACTTGCTGCTCTCCAGGTGACTTCTGGGAACAGTCAAAAGATCAGTGAGCCCATCAGGTCTTCATTCACACGGGGCTCAGGGCTGACACAGAACGGGGTGTTAACTAAGCAACCTTCTGTGGTTGCAGAAGGTCCCTGAGTATGTGGCAGGCCTGACTTGTTGGCCTCTCTCTTGTTTTTTGGTGGGGAGGGGAGGCAGGTACCGGGAGTTGAAGCCAGGGTGCCTAACCAAGGAGCTACTTCGCAACTCTTTATTTTCTGTGGGATTTGCGGTTCCACCTGGGCCTCCAGCACGCCAGGTACTTTTTGTGCTCTCCGCGGAGCTCCATTCACAGCCCTTTCCTTTTGTATTTGGAGACAGGATCTCTGTAAGTTGCCAGGGCTGCTCTTGAACTTGCAGTCCTGCCCAGCCTCCTGAGCCACGGGGTCACAGTGTGCCCACAGTGCCCGGCGCTCTCCTATGTGTCCCCAGCTTTGGATTTCGCTAGAGCCTGAGCTCCAGCTTGGTGGGGGTACACCCCGAGAACTTCTGTCCTCAAGGGTGGACTCTGCCCACCCTTGAGTCCTCGTCCAATCTTTGGGTGCCTCGGGTCTCGCATACATCTTGGGGGTCCGTAGGGGCCGGTGCGGCCTGTCTGGGACGGCAACAAGGGCCAGGCACCGCAGCCGCACAGGGGCCTGACTGCCGCCAGCGTCTGCAGGCCCCGCCCAGAGAGTCGGCACGTGGCTGCGCCCAGTGCAGCGCGTGGGGGGCGGGGATTCACGGGTGAGGCGGGGCTTCAGGCCCGGCGCGCGTCCCAATTGGCTCCCAGGACTGCCTGTAAGACTGCACGTCGTCGCCTTTGGCTGCCTCGCCGCATTGCTGCTTTGGCGGGAGTTGGTGGAGGGTGTGAGGTGAGAGTAGGGGGGCTGTTTACGGGCTGGGCCACTCAGATCTGGCTCTAGGCGGGGAATTGGGCCTGGCAACAGCGGGGCAGAGGACTGAGTGGAGCGCAGGCCACGTGGGCCTGAGGCGCAGGGGAGCCCCTCAGGGTAATTGTGGCAGCGGGTGGCGCCGGAGGGCTGTTTGCTCCCTCCTCGGCCTGTGGCACCCCAGGACGACCGGGTGTCCTTGGGGCAGCTCAGGGAGCGTTGCCGTGGGTCTGCGAGACCTTGAGCGCCGAGGGGCGCTCGGGGTGTAGAGGCCGCGTTGGAGCCTTGCCTCGCGAAATCAGCTCTCTCGCGGTACTTGGAAGGGCGCGAACGTCCCGGACTCTGCTTTGATGCCGGTCTGCGTTCTCAGATGTGCGCATGATACATGTGGTGGCGGGCGAGAGGGCTTGGGCTGCTGAGCAGAAGAGACAGTGGCCTCTGGGCTGCTTCCAGCCAAGGCCCAGTGGGTTACATGCTCAGAGATGTCTAATTGAACATTATTTTTACAGCAGCAGCGTCTGGAAACCCTGATTTTTATATAACAAGCTCTCTTGTTTCAAACGTTGGCCCTAATTCATAATGGTTTAGAGCATTATGTAGCCAGAGAAAATAGATATGAGAGAACTGCATTTGCCCCTTGGGATGCAGCTTGCAACCTCTGCTGTAGGTGTCCTGGGGAGGGGGCATAGGGCAGGAGCTGCAGAAGGCTCCAATTTCTTTCTTTTCCTTTTTTTTTGTACTAGGGATTGAACCCACAGGCTTTTAACCACTGAATCATGTCCTCAGCTTTTTAAAATTTAAGTTTTGAGACAGGGTCTTGTTAAGTTGCCGAGGCTGGCTTTGAACTTGCGATCCTCCTGCCTCAGCTACCCCAGCCTCTGGAATTACAGGTGTTTTCCCCCATGCCAGACCCAATTTTTTTCCTTAATCTTATTTTGTGTCAGAGCCTAGCTAGATAGGCTCAGGCTGACCTCAAACTTTGGATCTTGCTTCAGCATCTTGAGTACTGAGATTATAGGGGGTGGACTCCTGTGCCCAACCCATAGTTCCCATTTTGAGACCTTGGGTCCTAGAGAGATATATCCCAGAATTGCCCTGGATTGTGTGAGCTGACTTAATTGGCAGATGGAAGTTACCCCTTGCCCTTGTCTTTTACACCACCCTTTTAGGATTAGCACAGGTGTAGTGTGGTTAGATTTTGAGAATGGGAGTAGTCTGAGGCTGGGGGGATGTAGATATCCTCCTTGCAAGGAATCAGGACTTCCCAAAGTGCAGCTTTGGCTTGGAGTCTCACTGTGCCAGCTGTCTGTAAATGGGGCTGTGAGTACAGTTTTGAAATGGAGTGCATTTGAGATGGGTCCCCCAGAACCTGTGCACTGTGGGAAGCATGACCCTATCGCTTGGCTTTGTTTCTCTGAGTTGTATAACTGGGCAGAGAAGGGGAGAGCTTGAGGAATCCCTGGAGAGGAAGGCACGGTCATCGAGCTCCTCCTTCCTGCAGAGTGATGGTGGCCGCACTGAAGACATAGTTTCAGCCCTTGCCTCAGGACACTTGGAGATGATGAGAAGTGAAACCTGAGCCTTGGAAGAGGACTTGACATGGCTCTTTGACCAGCAAGTTTGGACTGGGCAACTCGAGGAGGAAAGGGAGACCTAGAGTATTTCCAAGGCATCATGAACTTAAGCCATGGGAAGAATTCTGTGGGTGGCAGGAAGGGGAGGGCACTCCCACACTGGCATGTTCATAGTATTTTAGGGTGAGGAGTATAGATAATTAGGGGCATAGTGAGAGATCAGGGTAGAGGGATTTTTTTTTTAAGTTGTAGATGGACACGATGCCTTTATTTTATTTGTTTTTATCTTTTTTATGTGGTGCCAGGGACTTAACACAGTGCTTGATGCATACCAGGCAAGCACTCTACCCCTGAGCCACAACCCTGGTCCCAAGGGTAGAGGGAATTTTAGGGTCCAGTTTTTGGGCCAGGAGGGGTTCGTTGCTATATTATGCAACCTAGACATTTGCTAGTATGAGGGGTCTGTTGTCTACCATTTGATGTCTTCTGTGCCATATGAGACAGGTGGATGAGTTTTCCTTGTGAATGGGTCTGTGCACCATTTCTTTGTTCTAAAGTCCACTGCTGTCCGTCATCTAGTAGCCAGTCACATTCCTGTAATGATTGAGTAGATAAAGAGCTGTCTTCTGGCAGAGAGGGGAAGAGCAGGAAAGCAGGACCTGGTGCCCTTGTGGCGATGATTATGTTCCTATTGGCAGTCCCATGCCCTGTCCTGCCAATCCAGTCCTGCACTTTCTCTCTGCACAGTAGCAGTCTCCGTCTCCAGTACAGGCCTGGTCAGTTCTAGGTGATGGCAGGGTAGGTGTTGATGGTAAGATAATCAATGCCTCTCATATTGATCTGAGAGGGACCTGATCTAGACACTGGGAGATGTTTAAAGGACAGACGGGTCTTTGAACTGAGCGAACTCCTAGCTTCCAGTATGGTTCCTCCTCACTGCTGCTCTCCTGGATGTTGTCTTTCTGTTCTGGGGTAGGACCTTGGAGTCACCTCAGGAGCTCCTGGGTTATGGCTCAGATTCCATATGGTTCTGTCTTCTCACCTTCCCATAGGTCAGGTTCCTACGGGAAGAAAGGTGGCTGGTTCTCAGATCTTGTAGACCCTCATGACCACCATGTTGAAATCCAGATCCCCAGTCCAGCAGAGGAGCAGCCATAATGGCCAGGAGGTAGTGTGGTCCCTCTCATTCTCATGATACCCTCTGCCCTCCTACTTCCCCTCCTGTGTCCCTAATTCCTAGTGTCTTCCTTCCCCTGCCAAGGATCTTAAGTCCTTTCACCTCTCCCTGTGGCCCTTTTCCAGACCAGCCTGTGGTCCTCAGGCTTTGGGATGAAGCTGGAGGCTGTCACCCCATTTCTAGGGAAGTATCGTCCTTTTGTGGGTCGCTGCTGCCAGACCTGCACCCCCAAGAGCTGGGTAAGTGTTGGTCAGGTTGGGCCCCACCCTAGGAAGCTCAGGTTAGCTTGGTTCTGGGAGCTGTGGTCCTGGGAAGCTGCCTTTTTTATGCCTTTCCAAGCATGGCCCTTCTCTGCCCCACACCTCTGCTTTTGTCTTTCAGGGAATGAAGGCACTGGTATTGGGTGTGTTGTTGGGCTATGGTTGGTTCCCAGGCCAGAGGGGCCAGAGGGAATACAGGGTGTGCCTAGAGGGCTGGTTTCTAGCCACATCTGCATGAGTACTGTGGGGACACCGTTAACTCAGACTTCCCCAGGCTAAGGCACATGGTTGAAGCCCTCTTGTGCACCCATGCTATGTGCTGGTGCTGAGGGGCCTGCAATTCCAACAAAGATCCAGGGCACATGTCCCTCTGATGTTGATGAGAGAACTTGTCCCAGACATTTTTGGGGGTGGGGGCACTGGGGATTGAACCCAGGGGCACTTGTCCACTGAGTCACATCTCCAGCCCTATTTGTATTTTATTTAGAGACAGGGTCTCACTGAGTTGCTTAGCGCCTTGCTGTTGCTGAGGCTGGCTCTGAACTCATGATCCTCCAGCTTCAGCCTCCCAAGCTGCAGGCATTACAGGTGTGCAGCAGCGTACCCGGCTCTCCCAGACTTTTGATACGCTGCTCTCTAGGACAGCAATTCCATATAGGATACAGCGCTTCTGTTTTGAGCATAGAACACTTCTTCCTGAGCCAGCATCTGGATCTGGGTCAAATGTCTTTTGGAAGATACTGTGCTGTAATTCTTTCTCCTGGTAGAATTGAAGGGCCACTTAAAGGGGCTGGGCAGGAACTCCTTGGCCCATGAAAAGGCCCTCCAGTACATGCTGTCCCTGCCCCCTTGGGCAGGAGTCCCTCTTCCACAGAAGCATAATGGATTTGGGCTTCTGCAACGTGATCCTAGTGAAGGAGGAGAACACCAGGTCAGAGCTGGGGGTGGCCAGGGTTCTTTTGGTGGAGGGTTGCTGGGTCCTGCTTTGTTATAAAGTGCCATTTTGTTCCTGTGATGGAAAAAGAATGGTCCCTGTCCAGCGCCTCATGCCCATAGTAGGGAGAGGCAGGTGAGCACGCTCGCAGCTCCTCCTGTGAGCATGTATGGATCGCCCACTGGGCGTCAGGCTTTGAACTTGTGCTCCTCTTGGTGGGGAGAGGGCTGGGACTAGGGCACAGAGAGGTGGTCTGTTCTCCCTGCTTTGCGATAAGCCATGCTCAGTGTCTTGGGAACAAGGGACTGGCTTGGTGTGATGGCTTTCTGAGGCATAGCCCCTTGTGGGCCCTGTGGGCGGCCTTCTCTGAATCACTGTCTCCCTTGCTCTGGGGTCTGTGCCCAGGTTTCGAGGCTGGCTGGTTCGCAGGCTCTGCTATTTCCTGTGGTCCCTAGAGCAGCACATCCCCTCCTGCCAGGATGCCTCACAGAAGATCATGGAAAGCAGTGGGTGAGGAGGCAGGGTGGGGGTGGCCTGGCACTTCTGGATCTCTAAAGGGGCGGCTGAGAGGGCTGGCTGAGAGGGCTGGCTGGGGCCAGGCTTCTAGAGTGCTGTCTTTGCCTGGGCCTCTTCTCAAGGAGGGAGAGTGAAGCCTGCAGCCAAGTCCTGGGGAGGCAGTCTGCTGCCTGCCTCACCCTAGCACCATTGCCCTGCACCCACAGGGTACAGAACCTCCTCTCAGGGAGGGCACCGGGAGGGGCCGGGGAAGGCCAGACGCCAGACCTTGTGGAGAAGGAGGTTCAGCGCATCCTGGGCCATATCCAGGCTCCACCCCGCCCCTTCCTACTCAGGTAACTCTGAACTGAAGGGCACTTGTCCCTGGGCTGGGGCAAGAGCTGGACGATATTTTTCTGAGTGGGCTGCAGCCTGCTGTCACCAGGTGCCTCCCTGCCCCACCCTCATGCAGTGCAGTTCTGTGTGCCTGTTAGATGCAGGACACTGGGACTAGAGGGGTGAATAGAGACACAACTGTAAGAAGGAAGGAGTGAGATGGAGGAACCAGTCATCAGGTGTTTCCCCAGCACCATCCGACTGCTCAGGGGCAGAGGGAAGGCGGGCAGCAGGGCTGTGCCCAGAGACTCTTTCACAAAGTCATTATTATCATGACAGGGGTGGAATCTAAGCTGGGCCAAGAGGGAGGTGGCCAGAGTAAAGGTGGTCATGTCTAGGAACTGTCATAGTGCAGTGTTTGTCAAGGTCACTGGTGGTCTCTGCTTTCTGTTCTGGCTCAGTCACCACCACTCTGTTCACTGGAGGGGTGAACAGAGACACAGCTGTAAAAAGGAAGGGGCTGAGACAGAGACTGCTCAGAGCAGGAGGAGGCTTGTATGGCAGGACAAAAAAGGGGAAAAGGAAGCTGACTTTTAGGGTACAGAAGTGAAGTTGGGGGAGACAGTTTTGCTGAGGGAATAGCACTAGCAAGCCCCTGACCAGGAAAGGGTTGTGTTGCTCAAGAAGCTGATGTGGTTGGAAGCCAGCAAATAAAGGGGGAGAGCAGCTAGAGATGACTTTGAAAGGCAGAAATAACCAGATCATTCAGGGCCATGGAAGTTCAGGTGGGATCTCTAAGTGCAGCGAAAACCAGTTCAAAGGTATTAAGCAAGGAGTGGCAGCGTGATGAGGTGGGTTTCAAGTAGAGACCAGAAGAGCACTGGGAGAGCAGCTAGTCCAGGTGAGTTGTGATGGACAGTAGAGGTTGGAAAATGTGGATCAGGAGATCAAGGTGCTAATAATGGGACTCACTGATGGATTGGGTGATGGGACTGTGGGCAGGGAGGGGGAAAAGAGAGAAACCATAGGGGAGCCACCTGTACCCTAGAACCTGGTGGTACGTACAGAGTGGGATAGGCTTGGGGAGAAGGGCGTTTGCCCAGGAAGGATATTTTAGACTTAAAAAGTTCCAGCTCCTGACTGAGGATGCAGTTGCATAGATGGGTCTAGAGCTCAGAAGAAAGACTGGGGCTAGGGACGCACATGTGCAGAGCTTAACATACAATTGGTGTTTAAAGCCAGGGGATGAGTGAGTCCCTGAGGGAAAGGGCTTAGGGTTGTGTATGTCAGACTTCGTTGTCTTAAGTACTGAGTAAGCAGGGGCCCGTTGGTGACTTTGACAAACCCTGCACTGTGACAGTTCCTAGACATGACCACCTTTACTCTGGCCACCTCCCTCTTGGCCCAGCTTAGATTCCACCCCTGTCATGATAATAATGACTTTGTGAAAGAGTCTCTGGGCACAGCCCTGCTGCCTGCCTTCCCTCTGCCCCTGAGCAGTCGGATGGTGCTGGGGAAACACCTGGTGACTGGTTCCTCCATCAGTATGCATCTGCAGGTGCATTTGGCACTCTCAACGGTTCCCACCAGGTTGTTCCTTCTCAGGAAATCAGCCACTGCCAGTGGACATCCTGCGTCCTGCCTTGTAGAGAAAGAGAAGCCATTGGGCAGAGAGTTCTGCTTGTTCACCACACCTTCCTGCCACCTGCTGCTACACCTCTGTCCTCAGTTAAAGCTGGTTTCCCAGCAGCCTCTGCACAAACTGCTTCCCACCAGTTTGCCCTCGTGGTGATGCCCTTTCCTTTTGTATCACTACCCCCACATTATTCCACCTTTCCTGTAGTTTTCAGAGACAGACTGGGCTCTACCTGGAGAAAATCTGGGTCTTGGTCTTCTTTGGGTGAATGGAGGCAGATGGCTGTGAATCTGACGTGAGCCAGTTTCACTATGAGGACTTGTGAGAGTATTGATGCCTCTGAGGGCCGGGTGTGGCACCTGGCACCCACTCCTTTGCATCTTTACCACTAAGCAGAATGCAGCCTCTCTGGGCCTCACTTTCCTCTTCTGTAAAATGAGGACAGTGGTAGTGCCTGGCTCAGAGGAGTTCTAGGCGGCCCTCTGAGGTGTTGTGGGTTGAGCCTTGTGTCAGGCGACCCCTGCTGCATCTCAGGCTGGGCGTCACTTCCCAGGCTGTTCAGCTGGGTGCTGCTGCGGGTCCTGAACTGCCTCTTCCTGAACATCCAGCTCCACAAGGGCCAGATGAAGATGGTCCATAAGGCCGCCCAGGCGGTAAGGCCCAGCCCACACTGGGGTGAGATGCAGGGGCAGGGGCGAGGCAGAGCCCTGAAGTCCGGACCAGCCCCATCATGTGGTGGGAAAAATCCACTGCTCTCCAGCGACCTTCCCTTGTAGTCTCACGGTCCGGCTCCCAGGGGGCCCGCTCCTAACGTCTTTTCATCATGGTCTTAACAACCATGACATCAGTGCATTACCTTAAAAGTTTTGGGAAATGTACCAGGGGAGGAGCTCTTCCGCTGATTCCTCTCCCACTGGGGCTCCTTGAATTTGCAGGTGATGGGGTTTGGCTTCCTGTGAAGTCAGGGTGGGAGCGGGTGGGCATTTCCCTCTGGCTCTCCCTGGAGCAGGGGTCTCCGCTGGTCTTCCTCTCTACTCACAAGTCGATCCTGGATGGAATATTGCTGCCTTTTGTGCTGCTCTCCCAGGGCCTGGGTGTGCTCCGTGTGGCTTGGGACTCCCGTGCCTGCTCTCCTGCTCTCAGGTAAGAGCCATGTGTCCCCCAGTCACATATGGGAGAAGTCCCAGGCTGGGGAAGGGTATCTGGGGAGGGGCATATGCTGACAGCAGCTCCCCAAAGGCCCCCTTCCAGGACCCTTGCTCCCTGCCATATGGCAGTCCATCCTGTGGGTCACAGATGGAGGGTCAGCTATGGGCTTCAGGGCCATGGCTGCCTCAGTACGTTCAGACAGGGCATAGGCTGGCTTTGGGTGAGACAGGCTCTCACTAGCCTCCAGCTTAGTCCCATCTCTGGAGCCCCTTCTATCATCGGCTCTTCTGTGCCCCACAGAGCCCTGCTGAGGAATCTTGGGGGGCTTTTCTTGCCCCCAGAGGCCAACCTCTCTCTAGACAGTTCCAAAGGGATCCTTGCAAGGGCTGTGGTCCATGCGGTAAGTGCCCCCATTGGTCATATGTAAGCCAGGCCAAGGGAGTAGGGCTCTGTTTCTGCTCTTGCCCTGACACCTGCCTCCCCCTCCCTCCTTTCCCAGGCCATGGAGCAACTGCTGGTCAGTGGGCAGCCCCTGCTCATCTTCCTGGAGGAGCCTCCTGGAGCTCCAGGGCCACGGCTGTCAGCCCTAGGCCAGGCCTGGCTAGGAACAGTGGTGCAGGCGGTCCATGTGGGTACTGTCCCAGATGCTATGCTGGTGCCAGTGGCCATTACCTACGACCTGGTTCCAGATATATCCTGTGACATGCATCAAGTGAGACCCTCCTGCCCTTTGGGATTCCAAGTGGACACCATTTCCAGACAGGCATAATGTTGTGTCCCGTGGCTGAGTCACCCTTAGGGCTGGGGTCCAAGTAGGGTGTGAGGTGTATCGTTCTGTAGCAGGTATCACAGCTGTTATATCATTATCTCATTTCATTCTTGAAAAACCCCCTTAGGGTTGTTTCATGGATGAGAAAACGGGAGCGTGGAGAGGGCAAGGTCATGCTTGCATGAGGTTGGACTTGAGACAAAGTTACAGGCTGGGAGCAGAGGGCATCTCTGGAGAGCAGGACAGAGTAGGCAGCCCTGAGACCTGCCTGAGAATAGTGTCCCCAGCAAGCCAGGTGCTCAGCCTCTCCTCCCCACAGGCCTCCAGCCCCCTGGGGCTGTGGAGGGGAGCTCTGGCTGTCCTGCAGAGACTGCGCAGCTCCTGGGGCTGCCTCCACAGGGTCTGTGTCCGGGTGCACCTTGCCCAGCCCTTCTCCCTGCAGGTATGTAGCTAACTGGGCAAGGATGAAAGTCTACTATGGCTTTTGGCACCCTGGCCCTCAAAGCCACTGAGGGAGAGCCTCTCCTGCCTCAGTGGTCTATGCAGGTTTCCTGTGGCTAGAGCAGGTCACCTGAGAGTCTTGTCCTGGCAGGAGTACACCACCAATGCCAGGAGCTGTTGGAGCGGCAGGCAGACCCTGGAGCACCTGCTGCAGCCCGTCGTGCTGGGCCAGTGGTAGGACAGGGGTGTGTGGGTTTCAGGGCCCCACAGGCAACCGTCCAGTTTTTGAAGTGGAACCCTCTCTCACCCCACTCACACAGGCATGTCAGCACCCCTGCCTCACATGCAGCATGGGGTCATGGATAATTCCAGATACTTGCCTATGGTCTGAGTGAGGCACATGGCCCACAGGCCTGGAAAGGGTGGGGGTTACAGGAGCCGTCGCCTGGGCTGGGCTGGGCTGGGCTGGGCAGGGCTGGGCGAACACCTTAGGTGAATGCTCTGGGCTTCCCAAACATGCCTGTTTTTAGATTTGGTCCCTTCATTCTTTGGTTTGTGTGTCTGTCCAGCACTGTTGTCCCAGACACAGAGAAGGAACAGGAGTGGACCCCAACAACTGGGCCCCTCCTGGCCTTCAAGGAAGAGGACCAGCTCCTGGTCAGGCGACTGAGCCAGCATATCCTGCATGGTGAGGGGAACTGGGTGCCGGCCTTTGGGGAAGGTCCTACACAGTCCCTTCTCTCTGGGTTGACCAGTCATCAGGGACTCCTGTTTCAAATTCATGTCTGCACCTGACCCACTAACCTTTGGTGGCATACTTGGGACACGTGAAGAAGAATGGACCCTGCCCTTGCCCAAGGTGCAGGGCAGCTGGGCAGTAGCTGAGTGCACACAGGCTGCCACCTGCACTAAGCATGTGCAGCACAAAGGCACATGCCCAGCTGTGGCCACTACATCAAGTCCTACCTGCCTGCTTTAGACTCATAGTGTCCCTTTACCTTATAGCCTTTAGCTACAAATGGTAAGGACATCTGAATGGAGTGGTACATGTAAGGGGCTTACCAGTGCCTACAGAGTCACATACTTGCAGAGGTCCCTTGTTACCCCCAGCCCCACCAGGCCTTACAGACCCAGGCAGGCCCCGAGCCCTAGGCCTGGCTTTGCATACGTGTGACCAGGGCCAGTTCTCCAGTCCTGCTCCCCTGCTGGGGTGGAGCTGTGTTGTGTGGCTGGGAAGACTTGCCAGATGACAGGGAGATCAGGCCCTTGACCAGCACCTGCCTCTGTCCCCAGCCAGCGTGGCCAGCTCGGCAGTGATGAGCACAGCCATCATGGCGACACTGCTGCTGTTCAAGCACCAGAAGGTAGGAGCCAGGGTGGTGAGGCCTGGTGGCCAGCTCTCCTGCTCAGCTCTGTTGTGTCCCATAGGGTGTGGTCCTGTCACAACTCCTGGGGGAGTTCTCCTGGCTGACAGAGGAGACGCTGCTGCGTGGCTTTGACGTGGGCTTCTCAGGGCAGCTGCGGTGCTTGGTGCAACACACGCTGAGCCTGCTGCGGGCACACGTGATCCTGTTGCGCATCCACCGTGGGGACTTGGTGGTGGTGCCACGGCCTGGTCCAGGCCTCACACACCTGGCACGCCTGAGTGCAGAGCTACTGCCTGCCTTCCTGAGCGAGGCTGTGGGTGGTGAGTCCCGAGGGTGCGAGTGGGTAGGGTGTGAGTGCAGGGTGAGGGGACCTGCCCATTCACTCTCCCCTGCATCCACCAGCCTGTGCTGTGCGTGGGCTGCTCGCAGGCAGAGTGCCACCCGAGGGGCCCTGGGAACTTCAGGGCATAGAGCTGCTAAGCCAGAGTGAACTCCACCGCCAGATCCTGCTGCTGCTGCACCTGTTGCCACAGGACCTGTTGCTGCTGCAGGTCAGACCCACCCATGGGGTCCTGGGCCCCTCCTGGGTTGTTGGAGGTGGCCCAGCCCTATCCTGCACCCTTCTGTGGTAGTAGTAGTTGTGGCCTTGCCCTGTCTCTGGCTAGGCCCCTGGCTTTCCTGGGGTCACACAGGTGTCCATCTCTCCTCAGCCCTGCCAGTCTTCCTACTGTTACTGTCAGGAAGTGCTGGACCGGCTCATTCAGTGTGGGCTCCTGGTCGCTGAGGAGGTAGGTGTGGCAGCTGGAGCAGAGTCCCTGTGTGGGGCCTGGCTTGCTCCAGCCTCTCCAAGTACCAGATGCCCCAGACTCCTCTGTGCTGTGTGCTGTGGGAGTGGGCTGCCCAATGGCCCAGCGCACAAGGGAGCCTGACTCCACTGCACCTGCCCTGGGCCCACGAGTGTCATGACAGAACTGGTTGTGTGTAATGTTGGGGTCCCCTTCACACCTTCTGCCCTGGCCTGTGCGTGCTTTGGGGCTCCCTCCCTGGCCAGCCTGCCAGGGACTAATGGCTCTCATGGCTTCCAGACCCCAGGCTCTCGGCCAGCCTGTGACACGGGGCGTCATCGTTTGAGTGCAAAGCTGCTGTGGAAACCGAGTGGGGACTTTACTGACAGTGACAGTGATGACTTTGAGGAGGCAGAGGGCCGGTACTTCAGGGTGTGTTGGGAGAAGCCATTCCAGGAGGGAGGCAGCAGGGGGTGCGGGTAGCTGCCCTCACCCTGGGCTCTTCCCCTTCAGCTCAGCCAGCAGTCACGCTGCCCCGACTTCTTCCTTTTCCTCTGCCGCCTGCTCAGTCCACTGCTCAAGGCCTTTGCACAGGCTGCCGCCTTCCTCCGCCAGGGACAACTGCCAGATACTGGTAAGGCTCCCCCTGTGCTTGCCGTGCTCAGGGCAGGGTTCTGCCCAGGCAGGACTTGGATCTAGGTCTTCCTTCTGCAGAGGCAGGCTATACAGAGCAGTTGTTCCAGTTCTTTCAGGCCACGGCCCAGGAAGAGGGAATCTTTGGTGAGTCCTAGCAGCCAGCGCAGGTTCCTCGAGTGGGGTGGATTTGCTGGTGGCTTCTGCCCCCTGCTGGCAGTGGTAGCCCAACTCCAAGAACTGACTACAGAGAGGGCCTTAGCTCCTGTTGTTTGGAGGGCCCCTCAGTCCAATCAAAGCCCTATCCCTGGGCTATTCCCTCTTTAAACTTAAACAAGAGGAGGAAAGCTGTGTCCTGTGGCTCCCCCTGAGCCTTCACTTCTCCTCTCTCTAGAGTATGTGGACCCAAACCTCGCCATCAGTGCTGTCTGGACCTTCAGAGACCTGGGGGTGAGAGGGCCAGTGTCACCATCCTCCTGCTTTCAACCTCTGATAGAACTGCTCAAGGAAACCAGCTGTGTCCCCCACCTGACAGGGCTGGCCCTGATGACACCGTAGACACTGGGATTTACCTAGGAATAGACAGGATGAAGGATGAGGCAGTTTTCCTATCCATCTTGGTATCCTAAACCACTGGCTTTCCCTACTCCCAGGTGGGGTGCTGAGGGCAGTTGGAGAGACAGAGGCAGACACAGAGGCCTGAGGGGCCAGAGGTCTCACTGCAGATTTCTGAGAACCAGGTGTGGCTGTTGGCTCTGTGAGCACAGTCCCGTGTGGGAGTACTCACAGTCCCATCTCATGGCCTAGGTACTGCAGCAGACGCCCAGCCCTGCAGGCCCCCAGCTTCACCTGTCCCTTACATTTGCCAGCCGGGACAATCAGGACAAGTTGGAGCAATTCATCCGACAATTCATCTGCAGTTAGAGCCATAAGGCAGAGCCCGATCTCAAAATGCCTCAACCCAGCTGTGTCCTCGAGACAGAAGACAGGAGGCTGCAGACCCCTGGCTGGACTAAGAAAAACTGTGGTTTGACAGTGTCCTGGGTTCTCTATCATTTGGTGTAATAAACAAGGGGAATGGACGAGTCCTCATTCTCCAAATCCCAGAGTATCCTTTGGGTGTGTGTTTTTATGTCCTCCTTCCCCAGTTCTGTGAAAATTCCCATCTTGCCCTCATAAAAGCCCGAAAAGAAGACAAAACAACAGAAGCTAAGCTAAGCTTCGACTTGAATTTATTGTAGAGCTCCACCTTCCTTCCTCCTACCTAGAGGAGCAGCATTGGGCCAAGTGGCACAGCAGAGGCTCCACCTTAGCTGGAGCTCGTGAGGAAGCTGTCACACCACCTTGTTGATGATGCTGCCAAGTTCTTCAATCTCACACTGGACTTCGTCACCCTTCTGCAACAGCAGGCCACCAGGGTTTCAGCTCTGGCACACGTACCTACACAGCCTGCAATCCTCAAGTCTGCCAACCCTGTGCAGCCTTCTCAGTCCTTGCCCCCTTTCTTCCTTTTAGCTAACTCACCTTGAGAAAGACAGGTGGCTTCCTGAACACACCAACACCTGGGGGGGTCCCGGTAAGGATGACATCCCCTGGGTAAAGAGTGACAAACCTAGGGCAAAAGCAAAAGGGCCAGGTGAGACAAGGAGCATTGGAGGGCTCAACTAAGACTCCAAGTGTGCGGACGGGAGGCCCCCCCCACTTACTGGGAGACCCAGGCGATCAGCTCCTCCGTCTTGAACACCATCTGGCTGGTGTTGCTGCTCTGGACCACCTCCCCGTTCACGCGGCAGCAGATCTTTAAGTTGTGGGGATCTGAAATGAAAACACCGTGTGGTCAGTCACTCCCACATCCAAAAAGATGAAACTGTACAGAAGCTTCAACCTGCCAGGTGAAGGGCTCTGTGTGCCTAACTTGGACTGTACCCTGAGACTTCCTGTGCAGAAATGGCTCCCTGCATCCCCATCACTCCAGGCACCAAGCAGGAGGCACTTGGTTGAGTGAAGGGGTGGGGGAGAAAAGCAGCTGGGTTTTCTTTTTTTTGCCTTAAATGGACATTTGTCCACAGCAGAGGCTGACAACTGTAGCTATAAAAATGACTCAGCATCTACAGAACAGCAGGGCGATGGCTCGAGCAGGGACAGTAAAGCCCTGTGTTGCTGTCATCTGATGCTGGCTGGCAGCAGCCTATTCCACCTGATTAGCACACACCTGTATTTTTCTTGGTGGCTCTGTGTGCTGTATCCCCCCTCGCCCCCCACAGGCAGAGCAGCTGGAACACAAGTGAGCTTTACCAGGGATTCTGCACTAGTGCTGGCAGGCTCTGCTGCCCTGGGAGTGGCTCACGCACGTGGCCATGCCACCTGCTGGCGCTCCCTATCCTTCCTTCCTGGCTGGTGGTGCTCTGTATACACAGTGGCTGGCTGAGGTCCAGTTGGTGCTCCTACCTCTCCTTCTCTACTGTGAAAGTGAACAGGATTTTTTTTGGTACCAGGACTGAACCCAAGGTTGCCTAACCACTGAGCCACATCCCCAGTCCTTTTTTTGATTTTATTTTGAGACAGGGTCTCACAGAGTAATCCTTAGGGCCTTGCTAAGTTGCTAAGTTTGGTCTTAAACTTGCAATCCTCGTGCCTTGGCCTCCTGAGTCACTGGAATTACAGATGCGCACCATCACGCGCAGCTGAACGGCCTTTACCACAGTGATTTTCCATGTGGAAGGGCCAGCTTTGCTTCTAGTCCAGACAGGGGCAGCTGGGGGAAGCCTGGCCCACTATTGCTGCAGGGCTATTCTTTGTGATTCACTTTATGAATGTAGTTCTGCAAGCACTACAGTGTGCTCCCTCCAGGGGCTCAGAAGGACGCCCATGGGGACCTCGGCTGAAACTGTGCACTTGCCCTGTGCAGCGGCCAGGGAAGTAGGCTCGCATGTGGCTGCACCTGCACTCCTCCACAGAGTGCTGCTTTCTCCTGACGCCAAGTACAAAGACCAGGGACCCACCTGCTATACTGTCCTTGGTAACCAAGGCAGGGCCCAAGGGGCAGAAGGTATCGAAGGTTTTTCCCAGCAGCCACTGCTTCCCATTGCGTCTCATTTGCCAGTCCCGAGCACTCACATCATGGGCCACAGTGAAGCCAGCCACGTGAGCCATGGCATCTGTGGCCTATGGAGGCAGGGGATTTGGCCAGATAGGAGGTTACGTCATAGGTGACACCAACCCCTAGAACAAAAAATCTCAAAACAGTCATCCCAAGTTAGGTGGTAGGTAAGGCAGTGTCAGCAAGCAGGTAGGTGCTGACCATGTCCCACTACTAGGGACAGCAGGCACCCTTGTTTTGGGGAGTGTGGTCAGTATTAGCAGGGACAGAAGCTGGGGCCTCTGCTCCAGTCGGGCCTGTGAGTCCCCTCTTCCACTTCACCTTGATATGTTTGCCTTTCTTTCCAATGACCACGGCCAGCTCCACCTCCCAGTCCACCTCCTGTGGAGTGGAAAAGAAGCAGTGAGGGGGATGGGAACCAGTACAATGGTTCTCTCTAGCTGCAGGGGCCCTGGGCCTCAGGCCCCAGGTCCCTAACAGTGGCCTTGGTTGCCAGTCCACATCTAGAGTCCCCACAAACCAGAGCCAGAAGTGCTGGGGAAGAAATGCCTTGTGGACCCACAGAGGCTCCGGCAGCGGAGGCAGCACCGAAGGCCACGGGCACAACTCCTCAGTGTAAAGGAAGAACAATGAGTGTCTGGAGGACTGAGCATAAAGTCGCTCTAGATGCCTGTAGCAGAGGATACCAAGTAACAATTGCTGACAATATGTGACCCTAGCTTGTTCTAAATGCTATGATGTATTAACTCAATTTAATAAGAAAAAGGTCAGCATCTTGGGAAAAGTGCTTCAATGAGCAATTCACAAAAAGAAATACAGAATTATAAAATAGGAACAAATGCTCCACATGGCCCAAATTAGCAAAATACAATTACAAAGTAGATAGGACTTAGCCTTCTGAATTGTCTGCTATTTCTCATGGTGATAACCAAAGCTGGTATCAGTATGCACGGACTCCCAGGTGCTGTTCTCCAACACTAGTCCCCACTAAAAAGGACCAGTTCCTTGAGAACGTGGTTAATTCCAGGTGCAGGAAGTACAGAGGGGCCTGGAATGACAGCCAGAAAGCAAGGAAAAATGAGGGGCCTGGGAACCAACACAGTGGCCCTCTCTGCCCAGAGGAGGTTGTAAAATGAACATCTGAGCCAGGGAGTACAACCAACTGGACAGAACTCAAGAACAGGAAGTCACGGTGATGTTAAAGGCATGGAGGCAACTTTGCCTCTGCAGAGAAGAACACCAGCGAGTGAAGGCAGAAGGTGTCCAAGAACCATGTGCTACAATGAAGCAGGTAAGGACCCCAGGACTCCAGGAGGAGCCACTCGTCCCACACTACCACCCACAGATCACTTAGGAACTACAACAAGGAAAACACATTTCACAGGGGAGAGAGCTAGTGAATGTCCAGGAAACCAAGAGGTCACACTGTAGGACCACCTCATGTGAGCCTCCTGACAGGAAGTACAGAATTCCTCTGTAGAATTTTAGAAAGTGCTTAATGAGGAAAACACAGAACTAGAATGTGGGATGTACCTTGACAAAACCTGACTGGATTCTTGGAAAAGTGTCATGAGTTGGGCACAGTGGCACATACCTGTAATTCCAGCAACTCATGAGGCTGAGGCAGGAGAATTGCAAGTTCAAGGCAGCCTGGGTAACTTAACAAGACCCTCTCTCAAAATAAAAACGATGGGGGATGTGGCTCAGTGGTCAAGTGCCCCTGGGTTCAATTCCCAGTACAAAACAACAACCACCACCACCACAACAAAAAATCTAAAAGTTGGAAACAAGTCCAATAGTAGGTGACCAGTGAAGAAATGATGGCCCTGGTACAATAGAAAACGATGTGGTAACCTAAAATATGCCAAGGAGAATATTTAACAGTATGTATGAAAAACGTCCTTGGTGGAGTCTTAAGTAGAACATGCATGTATGTACAGTATAAACACATTCAGGAGTAAAAGGACACTGGGGAGTAATACAGCCAAACACTAATAGCAAAAGCCCTGGGCAGTGGGAATATGCTGACTTAATTTTTAATATTATCTATGTTTTAACAGTTTTCTAGTTTTAATTACTTTCACAATCGGGAAAAGATGTCATTTTTCCCCCTGAGGCCAGTATTATCCCCTGCAGTTTCTGCCTAATGCATTATCAAGTAACAGAATTTCCACAAGTTGAATGTGCCCTTGTGACTGGCCCAGTGACACAAAGGTGGTGGGGAGGCACTGACCTGGCTCTCTGGTGGGAGGACCACCGCATCGTAGGGCCCCACGATGGAGCTAGCAAACTTGCTGAAGATGATGGGTTCCTTGGGCACAGGCACGTTCTGTTCTTTGCAGTGGTCCACATAATTCATGCCCACACATACCACCTTGTCTGGCCGTGTGACTGGGGCTAGGAAGGTCACCTCTGACCGTGGGAGGACGGGCAACGGGGCTGTCAGGGCTCTGTAGAGACCAAGCAGGAAGAGGCTGGTTGGGAACAGGTTTGCAATCCTGGGCTGCCCCATGACTGGGGGCAACAGGGCAGATGGCTGCTTTTTAAAATATATTTCCTAGCTCTATCAACCATCAGAGTAGGTGTCCTTCGAGAATACTTCGAGCACTGTATTCATACAGTGTTTGTTTCCTTTCTCCCATTAGGTAACTCATGTCCATGCCGGAGAATCCAAAAGGCACAAATGGGAATACGTGGCAAGGTCTCTGTGACCCCTTCCAGTCACATGATGTCCCTCCCTGGAGACACCCTCTATGTCCTGAGCAGTTCTTAAGAACAACTCACTGATGACCTTTCCTCTCACCCTTCTGTACCCAAAATAGTGTACTGTATGCCCTTAAATAAATAAATAAATAAACACACACACACACACACCACCATTTATATATATATATAATTTTTAATTTTTTTTAAAGATCCCTCCCTCACAACAAATAGTTTTATTTGTCCCCTCTGCCACTGCATATCACTGCACTTCAGAGATGCACACAGCTCCCTAGTGAGGGGCAAGGCAAGACACTGTTTCCACCCTGTGGAGAAAGTGACAGTATGGGAAAATGTTATCACCAACACCACATGCTGCCAAGCATTTTTGGTTTTGCCAACTTAGTAGGTGAAAACATCTTCAAGTGGTTTTAATTTTCGGGTCACCAATCCTTGAGCCAGATTTCACAGAGCTTCTGGCTTCAGAACGCCCCACTCCCCAACCCCAACTTGGGAAACAATAATCTCAGAGAAAATCTTTTTGCAGTCCCCTTTCCTATAAGGAGCCAGGAGTCTAAAATGCTTCCCATCCCTTGCTCCTGTAGGGAAAGGCTACCTGCTGGTGTTCCCCAGGTGGGGGAGTGTGGAGAGGGGGGACTGGGGCAGTGGCTTTAGGGCGGTGCTGCTGGCTGTCTTACCTTCTTGCCACTGACAAGGTGGCCTCTCCCTGCTCCAGGAACTGCAACATCGTCTTGGGGAGTGTGGGGTCAAATGCGTTGAGGTCAATGACCCCCCCATCATTCCCAGCCTCCAGGCCCAGGTGAGGCCCCTCCAAGTGGGGTGCCTGGAACTGCACCAGTCTCATGTCTCTGGAGGGCTGAAAGGGCTGCTTCCGAGCCTGCAGCAGAGCTGTGAGTAACCTCCTAACAGTGACCAGCATCAGAGCCTACAGAAGGAAAAAAATCAAGAGACAGGATTTCAGAACCACCATCAGGATCCCCAGGCCCCATCCTTGTTGGCACACTCCGTGGGAAGTGCTGTTTATATTATTTCACCTGCTATATTTCATGCAATGAAAACTTATTGGGGAGTGACTCCTTCATGGCAGGCTCTAGGCTTTCCCAGAGATCCCAGTGTTCCTTCAACCACTATTTTTTGAAAGTTTAGGATGTGCCTGGCAATGCTTTGGGCACTGAGGCAACAATGTAGGTCCCATGAACTCAGCCCTGCCATCCGCTTACTGGGAGATAGGTGAAAACTGAAAAAAAACAAGAATCAGCTATTGGGCCTAGTACTATGAAGATGATCACAGCCTTGACCTTTGTCCAGCTGCTATAGGAAGTGCCTTGAACTGAGTGGTACTAGGAATCTTGACAGCGGCAGCCCCACTGCCAACAATGGCCTCATGCGATTCCTTAAATACTAATTTGATTCTGTTGCCCTTCAACTTGAAATGCTTCTTAGTGCTCACAAGTGCAAGCCCCTGACTTCTAGAGCAGCCCCCACCCTGCCTCTTCAGACAGCCATTATTTAGTTTCCACTGCTGGGGTTGCTACTGTCAGTGGGGCGTCTGACTTACAGCAGTGCTCTGTTGTCTCTAAAGGCAGGGCTTTCCTGCTGAGTTCATGGAGCTGAGCTCTGTGCCTGCCATACAGAAGACTCTCAGTGACTTCAAGGAACACATGACAGAAGCAAGGCCTTGACCTCACTTCTTGGGAGACATTGGCGACTGTCAACCTTGAAACAGATGACTGTGCCTTCCCTCAGATCATCTAGAAAATATCAACATGGTTCAGGAACCAGTTTGAATTCCACGCTCCACTTAAAGACAAATCCCATCCTCTAATTCTTTTTTTTCCCCCAGTGGGAAATTGAACCCAGGGCTTCCCACGTGGTAGGCAAGTGAGCTACATTCCTAGCCCCTCCCATTCTCTTTATTTTGTTCTTAATCCAGGTAGGGTCTCTACCCTTACCACCATGTCCCTCTCCTGCATGGTGTCTTTACTTTTACTTTAAAAATAGTACTTGATGCTGAAAAATGTGCAGGTAGCTCTTCGAGCTCTGAACTCTTGGTCCTCACCCCCTGAAGTCAATCTATCCTGCCAAAGACTCATTAGACTTAGGTCACCACTGTGCTGACCTCCAAGTTTAGCTAGAAAATCAGGGGCTTTGTGTCTCTTGCCCTGTTTTCTTACACAAGCACCAACCATGCCACTGTCAAAGGTTGTCCCAGTCAAAACGCATCCACTAATAAAGTCTACACACTAAAATAATAGTAATGGCTTCCACTGAACACCAGATACTGTATCAAAAGTTCCACTTAAAATGTCTCATTTAATTCTCTTGACAACTGTGTATGGTAGGCATTGTTAACTCCATTTTACAGACGGCAAAGCTAGGGCTTAGAGAAGTTAAAGAATATGTCCAATGTCCAAGTGTCACACAGTTAAGAGAAAGAGCTAGTATTTAATCCATGACATTGGAATCGAGTGTTGTGCAAGCAAGATAATCTATGGACAACCCTTCCACTCCTCCCAGGGCAATGCCTCCAATAGGAGATCCTCCAGAGGCCCTGTTATCAGCCCTATTTGCCATCGGTCATGAGTATGGGTGCCCAGGGGCCTGCTGCCTCACAGATAGGACTAATCATCTGCTTTTCTAGATAACCCCAGGTCCCCAGACTTTGCTCTTCCCACATGAGAGTCACATGCAGGTTTGTTTCACCCCTCCACCAATCCCCTGGGACATGACGCCTGATTGTACAAAAGGGGGCATTGAGTCTTTTTTTTTTTATTGGTTGTTCAAAACATTACAAAGCTCTTGACATATCATATTTCATACATTAGATTCAAGTTGGTTATGAACTCGGTCTTAATGAGGTAAAGTCACCTGCCAAGGTGACCCCGATGCTTCTGCAGTAACAGGCATGCCCCAGAGCCCGAGCTCAAGCCAAGTCTGCCAAAGAGTCCTTCAGCAAAGAGGCTGCAACAGGAGGTGGAAACCGCTCAAGCTAGGCGGCCTGAGACGCGGGTTTGCAGACGGACCCAGCCCCACCGTCTGCTCTCCTGGAATCGAAGTCGCTCCTTCACTTTGCTGGATCCCCAGCTCTAGGCGCTCACCAGGGTCGGCCCCGCCGCCCGTGGCTCGGAAGCGGCCAGGTCTAACCGGCCCTCCGCGGGAGACACCCTCCCGGTCTGCTGCAGACCGAACCTACCTGGCCGCGGCTGCCGGTCCGGCCCGGCGCCCTGCGCTGTGGGGTTAGAGCCCGACGGAGCTCCAAGGCAGAAGGAGCCAGCCAACTCGCCAGCCCCGCACTACACCTGAAGCGGACCTCAGAAAGCAGGCGCGCTCCGGTGACGTCACGGAGCGACGGGCAATAGAAGGCGCCCGTTTTTTTCCGGAAGCTGAATCGCGCCGGGCGAGCTCAGTGTTGGAGCGCCGGTCTTCCCCGGAACGTACCTTCTGACCTCGGGGCATCGAGGCGCGTAGACCGGACTTTTTAAGGGACGCGCACTCTCAGGGCGACCCAGTGCTTTCCGGCCGCCTCGGGGGCCTCCTCCAGGCTGGCTCCGTGGCCGCCCAGCCATCGTTCCGATAGATGGGCAAAGCGGTGGAGGAGGCCTGGTCCTAGCGCGGCGAGGGACGGATATTTTTGTCTTCTGATTGACATACGAGAAAGGGAGGGATGGTTATCTGTTTTACTCGTGGGGAACCTGAAGCCGGAAGTGTTTTGCCCGAGGCCCGAGTGGGAATGAGGAGCGGAGCGGGGACTTCCAGACCCCGAGGCCAGCCATTACCACCCATGTGCCCTGTGCGGGACGCAGGGCGAGGCAGTGGGAGAACGAGGCTTAGCCTTCAGCGCAGAGAACATTGCAGTGGAGAGGGGGTGTCATAAGGCCGGGCGAGAGGCTCCAAAGTTAATAAAAGACCAGATGGATCTCAAGGGCTGGACTTGTCCCATGAAAAAGCCTGAACCTTATCTGAGTGCATAGGCCGCCATTGGAAGCTTCTAATCAGGGTGCAATGTCCAGACTTCCGGAAATCTTCCCCGGAAAGGTGCTTTAGAGTGGTGTGGATGCGAGCCATTGGGATTTGGTTTTGAGTGTTAAGGGATGGTTAGGAGGAAGAACTCGCAGCCCTGGATGACTTTCCCGTGCCTTCCCAGCCTTTGACCATCCAGCCAGACCACTAGCAACTACACGCGAATTGAGGTTGAGCCATATCTAGGGCCACCTCTCTCTGTAGACAGCCAAATATAGTCTCAAAGTTTATCTGGGAGGACTATTCACCACTGACCCTCGGAGTCGTCCTTGAGAGCGGCCAGCATACTGCCACAGAAAACTTTTGGGTGTTATAAAGTATATTGTGCAGACAGTCATGCTTGAGTTTTCTCTTTCTCAGTACTGACCCTAAAAACATACCTGGAAGCCACAGGTGTGGGTTGAGGGAGAGGAGTGAACACTACTGGCTTAGGTGTTAAAGGAATCTGAGACACCTGCTCTTGCAGCTTTACTGTACCTCCCACCCCTAACCAGAGCTCTTTTTCTTATCTCCCATTTCCACTTGATAAATTGCTGCTGCCCATGTCCATCTTTATGACAAGGTGGGTCTGACAACATTCAGGTTATTCTGGGAAGCTCAGGTCAGATGATTACCGGATATTTTATGGTTTGATGTTCAGTCTCTAGCAAAACCAAATAGCAACCCAGCTATTTCTTTAAAGGAGAGTTGTTATCTGCAGGGGCAGGTATAGATTATCCCTAAAATCCCAGCGGTCTGGCCCCTGATGATCCTCCTATGGGTGCTTTCTTGAGTTTCCATATTGCAGAGCTACTAGCTATTAACTATTAATTGACATCATCTAATTGCAGCTTCATGATTTAGCCTTGAACAAGAGTCATCTAGGTGGATGTGGGTGACTTCCAATATGATGAGATAATACTGATTGATGATTGTTGTTCAGCATTGGCTGAATAGAACAACATCCTCAGTGGTTCCCCTGCATCCACGCTGGTCACCTCCAATCATGTCCATGTTTCTGGGGGAGATTTCCAAAGCACTAATTTGACATAACACCCATGTTATGATTTGAGTATGGTTGGTCCCCTCTGAATTTTATATGGAAATTTGCCACAGAGTGAGGAGGTCATTAAGAGGGATTCTCATGGGATTGGCTTAGTTACCATGAGAGTGGGATGTTATGAAGTGAGCCCAGGCCCTCTTGCTTGCCTGTCTTCTGCATGTGCCTGTTTACCCTTCTGAATTCTGCCATGTTAGGAAACAGCTTGATGCCCTTGTGAGGTAGGGCTGCCCAGTCTGGCACTTCCCAGCCTCTAGAACCGTGAACCTAAACAGACTTCTTTATAAATCACCCTGTCTCAGGGATTCCGTAGTAGCAACAGAAAGCAGACAATGACACCTCATCAGTAGCTTCCTGCTACTCAAACCCTTTGGGTCTTACTCCCACCTACGGCTCTGCTCTGCTGCCCTCTCCCATTCCTTTGGTGTTAGCACTCAGCACCCAGCACTCTGGTTTCAGCCCTCGAAGTGCAGCCCCCCCTATCGTGCTTCACCTGGCTCCTTGTCATCCTTCAGGCTCTGGGAAAATGCTGCTGCCCTTGGGGAGCCTCGTGTCATGTACCCTGCTCTGAGGTCTCATCTTCATTGCAAATACAGTAAAACATTGAGTATAAATTGACACTGTTTTGTATGATTTACTTTATCAATATCTTGTCTCTAAGAAACTCTAGGCTCCATAAGGGAAGGGTTTGCAGATATTCTGCTATTTTATCACCCCTTCCTGGTAATCTTTTTTTTTTTAGAAAAAAAAAAAAAAAAATGAACAAATGAAGGAAGTAACGGCCCAGGGCAGAGCCTGGGTGAGGGACCTGGAGCGAAGGTGCCTCCTGCCTGCCTGCGTGCCTTCTTCACGTTGCTTTTTCCAGTTACTCAGGAGCAAGGAGGTGAGTAAGGAATCAAGTGTGAGACCGCATCTCTTCCTCATGGGCCCCATTTGGTCTGCCCAGGAGAAACTTGTACTTGGGGGCTGGGAAAGTTTGTCAACAAAGTAAGGAATTGGAAAGTTTCGTAATCTCAGCTGGCTGTTAGGAACTGATGACCTGTTCTTTGGAGCCTTATTTTTAGTTTCTGGATGTTTTACTGTATTTGGTGATTTTTTTAAAAACTGGAAAACTGCTGCCTGGCTTCATTTGTGTGCTCTCGGGCGGGGACAGGGCCAGAAGGGGCATGGAGAGGGAAGTGGCAGGAGGCGGGGCAGGGCTGGGGTGTGTGTGGGAGCCTGCTCAGGCTAGGGTGCCCCACAGGGCAGAGAGCCCCCAGAGGAGATGTTTCAAAGAGACTTTGATCCTGAGCAGCCTGGAACTGGCCCCACGACCTGGCACACTAGGGGCTAATAGGTAGGGACAATGAAAAACCGGGAAGGGAATGAGAAAGAAAGCCATGCATGGAAAGCTTTCCTCTCCCAAGACAAATCCTTTCCAGATGCTGGCTGTAGGCGGGGGAAGGGGTCTCATCACACGTAACGTGATCTTCTCTGGGCAACATTGATCTTCCTCAGAGTAAATCCTCTCCACATGGGGAATAGGGACCCCCGACCCAAAAGTCCAAATTCCTGAGTGCCCAAGAAAACTGATGTGCCCACTAGATCACCTCTCAGGATGACCCACATAAGCCCAGTCCCTTTCTTTGTTCGGGGGCTTTTTCTATCAGGAGAGTGAGTTCACTGGTGTCACCCCGTCCCTGCATCCCCTGTTCCTATGTGAAACTTTGTTCCAGAATAAAAGAGCTGGGCTGACTCGTGAACTTTGCATCCAGCCCAGTCCTTTTGTGCTGTCGGGGCCCTGCGGCCTAGCCTTACCAAGGAACCCTGCCTGGCCTCCTGGCCAACTGTAGTGGCCTCTGTCCTGAGCTTCAGCAGCACTTACTGACCACTCCCCTACCCTAGGCCAGCTCTGGGGATGAGGTGTGAACGCCATGGCTCCTGCTTGCAAGGTGCTCACAGTCTGGCAGGGTGACAGGGCAGGATCAGATGGGAAGGAGTTCACCTCTCTACAGCTGACCTTGACCCTAGCTATTGGTCATTTTCCAGCTAAAAGTACTAAATATCCAGTTCCCACTGGCTTAAGGGAGGGAGGTCTGGGCACTTTCAGTGTTCCAGTAAGTGATAAGGAGAGGGTGGTGGGGAGTCACTTAAGGTACAGTTTGATTTTGAGTTTCGGGGCCCACGTCCCTCTGCCTCCTGGGCCTGGCACCCTCACCAGGACTCCTGCTCTGACTCGAGTCTCATGGCTCCTTGAAGTGAGGAAAAGCAAGGTCGGCTCCAGGACTCCCACACCCTTGGCTAAGAGGGAGCTTTTCCCGGCATTCCTGGCAAAGGGCTCCCTGGGCCTCATTGTCTGTGATTGGGTGTGTGCCCACCCCTTGATCAGTCATGATGACCTGGGAAAGACCATGCCCATCAGATGACATTCCTCATTGCCTTCAGGTTGCCCAGGGATCTAGGTGAGAGAGGAGTTCCTAAAGTCCTCTTATTGAAAAGGGAGCAGAGGGGCCATCTCAGGCACAGGGATCCTGCGTCAGTGTGAGAAATACAAAGTCTGGTGGTCCATTTTCAGAATATAGTATTTAGCCTTAAATATAAAATTGGGATCCCATTGTAAGATCCAATCATAGCCATTTTGAGCTTCCCAACCTGTATCCAGCTGTAGCCATTTCGACTACAGTCCTTCCCTTCACAGGCCCTGATTTTAAAATGAGCCGATCTTATAGATGTAGCCCCGGCCTCCTCCTGTCAGAGTGAGGGCCGAGCTGCATCAGATAAAGACAGGACAGTGAGGTGGACAATACTCAGAGCAGGCCGAGCAAGCTGAATAGAGGGGACTCTGTTTACACCCCAGAGCATAGGGACAAAGGCAGTATGGCTGGGCCCTGAGTGACAGGAAGCCAGGCTCCTATTGAGGAATAGACAGAACAAACAGGTGCCCAGCAGAGGCAGGGAGCCTGGGTCCGGCCCTGAGGAGCTTGGTGGTCAGCCAGTGGCAGGGGGTGGGTGAACCTGTCCTCAGAGACCTGCTCATGAGGAACCTGGCTGCTTTCTGGGACCATAGGGACCTTCTCTCAAGCCCACTCCAGTGCAGGGCTCCTCCCGCCACCTCCCTTGCTGGCCGAGCATGAGTCTGTCTCCCTGCTCTAACTGCACGTGGTGATGAGCAGGTGGGGCGAGAGACCTTCTCCACACCTCCTCATCTTGGCCCCACTCAGTCAGTACTTCTGGCCATGCTGGCTCTGGACCCGGGCCACAGGCACCATTCCCTGTGCAGACTGTCCCCCTCACTTTTCC